GTAGAACTGCGGAATTTTTTAAAGACACTGTTTTGGAATCGATATCCTGCTTGCCAGGTCTACGGTAGGATGATATGCAAGTTTAAGACAGAACTACTTAAAATGCAAGAACTTCCTTCCAATACAGACAAGTTTTGTGGATCAAGCATGGAACCGCAAAGTTTTGTGGAAAGGTTTTTGGAGTTCGCTAATAAGACCTTCATTTTGAAGTACTTAATCACTTGTAGATGTAAACACGTGAAGTTTTGCTTAGTTTAAATGCTGAAAAGTTCTCTGGTTTTCATGGCCTTAAAACCTCGCTTTGTTCTTGAAATGGAGAACTGCGGTAAACAGCTACTATGACTACACTGCTACTTCCTCTGCCGTCATTTTAGAGTTATGTTTTTTCAAAATCAATCTACCACTAGGAGAAGGCTTGTGCATTAAAATAATATATTAAAGAAAGTGTAACGTACGTAACGGACTATACGCTCATCGGAATTTGCGATTTTAAATAAAATTTCTAAAATGCCCTCAGTACCGAATAACAGTTCGATCTGAGATGGAGTTCCAGCTGCAACGTTACTCAAAATCCAGCCTATCACTCGTCTCTTCCTTGACGTTAGCAGTGTACTGTCAAAAAAATGAACCTGAAACCCATTTAGGAAATGGAGGGCTTTATAGAAGAGATGGATAGTAAAATAGAATTCAGTATTTGTTGTTTTTCCTCTAAATGCTTCTTTCTGTAGTTCTTTGAAAAAGTTTGTTCGTATAACTTAATCTGTAAAACCTAAGCCTTGTAATGTGTCTCGTAAGAAGAGCGAAAACACTACGCGGATAGAACCGTACCAGTCTTGGAAGTATACCTAAATCCAGCGCTCGTTGAGCCTGTTCATCCGTACCAGCAATGACATGCCCAATTGTCGTTAAAGCTGATATCGAAGTTACCTCATCATCCAGTAGATCAATCATTTTTTCCATCAAACCATGAACATTAAGCACAAGATCAATCTGGAAAAGCTGCAATTTAAATTTTTTCTTAATAATCATTTTTAAATTACAATTATTACATGTATGATACTTATTTTTAATGTTTTTTTTTTGCTAAACCCAGTCACTCGTGGGATACCTGTTCTTGAAAAAAATGGAATTTCGGAAAACGTGCAGTATTAGAGCGCATAGCGCTTGTTTTGAGAAAAAAAGCCTCGAAGTATGGTTTCTAACATCGGTATATCGGCAAGGGAAAGTGCTCAGAATTATAAAACAGAACCGGATTTTTTATAGCTCACCGAGTCTTGACGCCTTCTCTTCTAAATAAAGGTTACGAGGACTTTTTGAAGTTAAGATGGGAATGGAGGAAAGCAAAGGATGATATGATGTTAAGGATAGCATATGAAAAAGAACAGAGTTGGTTAGTTTCTTAGTTAACAATCCACGTTTTCAATTCTTTTTCATCGCGATTTTTTTTTTTTT